TTGTTGTTGTTGTTGTTGTTGTTGTTGTTGTTGTTGTTGTTGTTGTTGTTGTTGTTGTTGTTGTTGTTGTTGTTGTTGTTGTTGTTGTTGCACAGCTGCTGCAGCCAACAACAAATCCAGACTCTAGTTTCTTTCAGTTTTTGCAGGAGAGCACCTTGAGCCCAGTGAAGTGCAGGAAGAAGGAGCTGCTTAAGTCCAGCCTGGCTCTGGACTCTGAAGGTCAGGACACAGGCAGAAGTTCATTTCACGGCTTCTAAACATTTAGCAAAATTCAATTGTCTCGTGTCCACCTGCAGCCGCACGATGTCGATTACAGCTCAGCGCCTCTGTCAGCGCTGCACGCACAAATTGACTCGTTATTAGCCGCTCACACGGAGCTGGAGTGGCATATCATCAGCAGCACGTAATGAAGAGCTGCTGATGCTCCTCCATGTGTCTTTAACCTTCTCTTCTGTGTTCCTCCACCTCAGAGCTCTTCCAGGACCTCCGTCAGCTGCAGGAGGCTTGGCTGGCAGAAGGTGGGTGTTTCAGATCTCAAGCAAAAACAGAGATGGGTGGAAAGTGAAGTGGGGGGGTAAGAAGCTGCCTGGAGTTCCATGCCTCATGTTGCAGTCCAATTAAAAGGCTGTGTGGAAGAGGCACCTTGTGTGTCATGCATACATTAGAGACGGAGGAGGCTCTTCCCTCAGAGTGTCATCACAGATCACCAGGAGAAGCTCACCGTCTCTCGTGCGTTTGGCAGCAGCTAACGTGCTGCACGCCAGCCGCCGCTCTGCTGCAGCCCACCAACTCTTTCCTGCTCTCTCACCCCCTCCCCTCCTCTCATCTGCCCTCCCCCTCTTTCCACTGCTCCCTCTTCTTCTTAGCGCTCGTCTCTTTATCTTCTGCAGCTGCACTTTACCCCCGTCTTCTTCAGTTTCATTTGTTGGCTGCAAAAACAGAAAGACAAAGGATCTATCACTTTACTTTATTTTTTGCAAACTTCCAAAACAACAGAGACAAATTATTTTTTCGAACCACCCGTTTCTGCTTTTGATTTTTATTTTTCTAATGGCAAGACTTGATTTTTGTGGTCTAACTGAGACGGGATGCTTCAGGATTTAAGTGCGAGCGTCCTCTTTCCGTCCTGCCTGCAGCACCGAACTTTTGGTTAGTGGTAAAAAAAACTCTTCTATTTTGGGGTTGTTTATGTGTGTGTGTGTGTGTGTGTGTGTGTGTGTGTGTGTGTGTGTGTGTGTGTGTGTGTGATTAGTTTCTTTCCTTGCTTTTCAGTTTTCTTCTGACAAAGTGGTTGCACGTAACACTAAAATAATTGGCTTATTTAGTTGTAAAAAGTAGAAGTTTTGAGGTAAATCTTCAGTCGTTCCAGTTTAAAATCAGATAAACTGATTTTAAAAAGTAAATAAAACTTGTGTGGAGCACGCAGGTTAATTACAAACATTTTTTTTTTAGTATTTTAAGCCTTAAAAGTGAATTAAACTGCTGGTAGTTTAGCCTGTAAAGCGTATTTCATTTCATGTTAAAGAATTATTATTGTGAACTGTTGAAAATTATCCAAAATAACTTCTGAATTCAAGATATTTTTAACTTAAATGCATCAGTCATTTATAATTTAGTGTTACAAAGTTTAATTTAAATATTTGGGGAAAGTGAAATAAAATAACGTGCACTAAATAACTCTGTTTGTTGCAATTTTATACTGTTATCATTTTAAATGTGCACCAAAGTCTGCTTCTTTGTCCTAAAAAACACGATTTCAAACAGCGTGAGCGTTCAGGGTCATCATTCTTCCAGCAAAGTGTAGCTCTAAAGTCGTCTAATCCTTTTTATTTAAAACGTTTGAGTCTTTATACGTTTTCTGAAAAGCTGTGAGAGGATCTTCTTTGGCGCCGCAGCCAAAAGAAACTCAATCATTTATGGACCCAACTCACTTTAACTGGTCTGCGGATGCTGGCAGAGCTTCCACAGGTTTAAAAATGGGAAGTATTCTTTGAAACAGAAATGAGGAGCAGTCGAGGTGAAAGCAGGTGCGGGAAGAACGAGACGTGTTTTTAATATTTCAGGAGCAGAAGTGAGGAGAGAAGACGGCAGCTGGAGGTCTCGCCGTTAAAGGATTACACTTCTGCCTGTCGTGGATCCATGTGATGATGTACGATTGAACACAGGAGATCTAACGAATGACTTCCTGTCCATTAAGATGAAAAGGAATACCTTCCCATTTCCAAGATTTATTAGTTCAGGTAATTGGACGGAGACGAGGAACGATGAGCGACAGCCTGAATTTCTGTCTGAGACGGAGGCTGAAGGTCTGAGCCTCCAAACCGCCGCAGATCCAAACCTTTATCACGCGTTTCGCTTTGAAAAACTAAACTCGTTATTCAGTTTAAACAGAAAACAGGTTTTCTTTATATGTAACAAATAATTTAAAAAAAAGTTAGTTTGTTTCTCTGGTGCAGAAAATGTGAAAAAAGTCGTTCGTTGCTGCAGGTTTAGAAACAAAATCAAAACTTTTAAACCATTTTTTTACAACTTTCTCTTCTTCCTGTCCTTTTTCCCTCGTCTTCCTCTTTTTGTCCTGTGAATGGCGGCAGCTGTCCAGCTGCTCTGCTGCAGTTTGTGGCGGAGATCAGCTCGTCCAGCTGATCCTCGGCTTCCTTCGGCTCTGTTGGCTGTAACCGTGAACAACACTCATCTTGTTCTTCTGTTTCCTTCTAAATGACACACTGGGGGCTAAGTTCAGTGGTTTTTTAAAGATTTAATCATCAAACTTATAACTCAATATTATTTATTTATTTGTGTTCTATTAAGGCAGGATCAAATTTAAACAGAATAATTAAAGTCTGTTTTCACTCATAAATTAATTTATTTTAAAATGCTAATAATAATAACCAGAGATTTGAGTAAAAATATAGTTAATTTCTTTGTCTTTGCTGTTTTTCCACCTACTTGACATTTGTGGAAAGTACGGAGCGATGTCTGTTAATTGTTAACTCTCCTCAATTTGCACCTCTGTGGAGAGGGGCGGGAAGGCCTGACCGCACCGAGTGATAAAAGTAGAAAAATGTCCTGTTTTAAATGTGGAACAAGTCAGAGCAAGTTACCAAAGTTGTGATAATGAGGATTCACCTTATTGTGTGTATAAATAGATGTGCTAATGACGTGTTTAAATCTCTTATTTATTTATCTATCTTACCACAGAGAGTCGAACGTGAGGGATAAATGTGCTGGATGTAGAAAAACGTGCACGCCTAATTGGAGCCGAAGTGGCGCGAGCTTCATTATTTTAGCATTAGCCGGTGCGCAGGGGCGTTTGCAGCCCAGGTGAAGCTGTGCGAGCTTTGGAACAGACCTAACTCGGCAGGTACAGGTGGATCCAGCAGTAGGGAAGAAGCCAATTAGATGCAGTTAACAATGGGTGATTGGCTGCTGGCAACGAGCGCGAGCTCAGCCTGCCCAAGTCAACGAGCGCGAGCCCAGTCTGCCCAAGTCAACGAGCGCGAGCCCAGCCTGCCCAAGTCAACGAGCGCGAGCCCAGCCTGCCCAAGTCAACGAGCAGCGCGACCTCAGGAAGTGGATTCGGGGCCAGCCACAGTAAATGTCTTCAGCTCTGGCTTTAGTTAGAAAACACTGAACATCTGAAGCAAACGTGGGAAACTTTTTAAACTGCGTGTAGCTTGTGATGAAAATGTGCACAGCAGCTTAGTTCTGATAAAGCGAATACACAATTTTTATTATATATTAGATATTTGATGCATTTATATTTAAATCCACAAAATGTTGGAAGTTTAAACTCACAAATGTTCTGATCCAACAAGAGAAACTCTTGAAGAAACGTGTAAAACTAAAACTAAACACATCATGAATTAAAGAGAAAGAAGGTTTAGTTATTATTGGTGCCTCGTATGAAATCATTCTTCCAACTTCTCTAAAATTAATAAATATGTTAATAATAAAACATCTGGAAATGAAAAATTTAAATTTTTAATTTTTTTAAAAAAAGATAGTGATTGTGTTCAATAATAAATCAATCATCTGTTAGTGTAAAAAGTGAAAAGCATTTAAAAAATGCACATTGCATAAAAATTACAATAAAATGTCACAAGAGTAAAATATGAAACTAAATTAAATAAAAACTACAAACAGAAGTCCATGACGTGACATTAAAGGCAGACGGTGCTGGAGTAGTCCAAAGTGAAGAACCTGAAGCGGTGACCCGGTTTGTGATCAGTCAGAACCGGACCGGGTCAGAGCTGCGCTGTCCGGCACCGTCACAGCAAAACTCAGCTCCGTGTGTTCTGCTTCGCTCTTTCAGCTCAAGTTCCCGACAATGACGAGCAGTTCGTCCCCGACTTCCAGACAGAAAACTGTAAGTAGCACACGTGTGTGTGTGTGTGTGTGTGTGTGTGTGTGTGTGTGTGTGTGAACATCTGCGCCTGTTTTCTGTTTGTTTTGTTATTTACCAGTTATTTCAGGTGTTTTTTGAACTCGTGCAAAGTACAAGTGGCATCGTGTGTTTTTTGTCACTTTTCTTTGCACCATCTTCTCTGGAGAGCTGCAGCTCTGCAGAAAGGTGCATGATTTTATTGTTTTGTTCCTTTTGGGGGGGCAGGTGGGGGCGTTACTTCTATCTGAGCCCCGAATCCTCCTCCTCTGTGACTTATTAGCATAAGAAGACGTGAAAACATCGAGGTAGTTTTTTTTTTTTACGTGATATTTATAACTCCAAGCAAACTGCTTTCAAGTGATCAGTTTTTAAACTCAATCTTTTTATAACGTTTCCTCAAAAGGCTTTTTGTGTAAATCTCCCACTGTGGTTCCATTTGCCAGATCAGGCGGCGTTAAATTAGTCACTACATCTGTCTTTTTCAGCTGAAGGTCAGCTGGTCCTCTGCTCGTCCTCGGATTTCACCAAAAAACATACTTTTTTGTTCCTCCCCCTCAAAATGTTATAATTTTGTCTGTCAGTGCTTCCAAAAAGAGCATCTCCTGATGTTTAGCCTGTTCCTTCACACCGACGATGAGCACGGGGCGGTGAGTCGCATCACCTGGTCGTGGCTGCTGACTTGGCCCGGTCCATCCCTGAGGAAGGCGTGCCAAGGTGGGCACAGAAACTGAGCGAGTGGAGCTCAGTGGGACTCGGAGCGAGCACATGTCTTTTAGACGAGCCAAAATGCACACGAGCTGGGAGGACACGAAACTGGGAGGACACGAAAGTGTCCGTCCACCGTCTTTATGTCCTGCGCGACCTTTAACCTCGAGGAAAACTGCAGAACTAAAGTTAAGCTCTTTTTGAAAGAGTCAAAGTTTAATTTTTAGGTTTCATCACTCATTTCTACCTTTTCTGACCTCGTTCAGAACTTCCCGTGTGTGAACTCAGCTGCTGCAGGAAAAGTCTAATAAATAAAAACTGAATTAAACCCAGTGGAGGGGGAGCTGCATGAACCAGAGGTCACCAAGACTGTCCCGTTGTCCTTCAGAGGTAGCCGGGGTGGGTGGCCATGGTGGCAGGAGACTGCTGACCATCTGAATTGTCCTGTTGGCAAACCTGCAGCAGACTGGAGGGGCATTAACAGATGGCGGGGGAGGGGGGGGGGGTGTTGAGGGCACTGTGGTTGGGCACTTGAGCAGCCATCCCAGCCGGCAGCTCTCCCATATGGGTTCCACCAGTCCGAGAGACGGGCGCACGGTTGGTGCGGTACGAGGGGGGAGAAAGAGATGGAGCGAAACAGGAAATAAAAGTCCTGCGAGGAAAACTGAAGCTTGAATTAATGGGATTATTAAGACAAAGACGATTAATGGGATTATTAAAACAAAGACAATTAATGGGATTATTAAAACAAAGACAATTAATGGGATTATTAAGACAAAGATAATTAATGGGATTATTAAGACAAAGATGTTTTAAAGATGACTTTAATGTAAAACTATAGCAAGGTAAAGTTGTTTTATTCAAACTGGGAAGATTTTCTTTTAAAATAATCCCACATGGAGCATCCCGAGACCTTCAGCTGATTTACGTGCGCTGCAAACTGCAGCTGAAATAATTCCCTTTACTGAAGCAACGTTTGCAAGTCCCCCAAACCAAAACACGACTGCCAGTGATCTTGTTTCATAAAAAGCATTTTAATGCGTTCATCTTACTGCCTATATGGCCCTAAAGTAAAGATCTATAATCATAATAAGCATTTATTTGGTGTGTTTTTGTTTTTACCTGTGTGAAACTGCTGTGTTGAGTTTGAAGCTCATTAGCATTTTAATTATTATTTTATTGGCTCTTTTATGAAATTTAAATTAAAGTAAGTCAAGTAGTTTAAAAATCCTATTTACATCAATATGCAAAATATATATTTTGTCATAATGGTTTTGCTACTTAGCTGGCTAATTTGCTAGGCTATTAGCATTAGCTTAAAAAATGGCGTTTGCAGACAAAAATATAATTTTTTGTAAATGTTGAAAAACCTCATAAGTTTTACAAAATAAAAGTATTTAAATCATGTTCAAATTTAATGAACGTATATTTAATATTTTCGTCAATTAAAATTAAATAAAAAACAACAGATTTTGCACCTTCTAGGCCTCAGCTTTTGTTTTTAAGCACAACAAATTGTGGAGGATTAAAAAACTTTGCCTAGCGCTACCTCAGATACAAAAATTGTATTTTAAAAAGGACGCTTTAAGAAAAGTTTGTCTCACGCTGACGTCGCTGACGTCGCGGCCTCTTGTCGACCGTTCCCCCTCAATGTCAAACTTTGCTCTGCGGCACAGAAGCAGCATGAGGAGCAAACGTGACATGAGGCTGAAGGAGAAGGAGACGTTTCTTTGTCTCAAACTCCAACACAGATGCTTACCATTAGCATAACTTAGCAGGAGATGAAGGAGTAGAGGAGGTGTAAAATGAGGCCACACGTTACCAGCACATCTCAGCCTCCATCACTTCACAGCAAAGGCGAGCACCTACAGTAGGTGAAAATGGAATGGCAGGTTTTCACCGCTGCCAAAAGACCTGTATTTTTTATGAATGGCAAGAGAAAGATCTGCCACACGTGGGCTGCGGTTCTGCCAAAAGGCACGAGAGCACCACGGTTCTTATGCTTTTCAAGGGCGTGCCCAACAAACTGCATCCAAATTTACATTTTAGCAGTTTTTTTCATTTATTACCTTTTTGTTTACAATGTTTAACACAAACATTAATCTGTTTAATCGGTGCAGCAGAATATTAAGACAAATCACTTCACGTTGAAGTCAGCTCCCCCAAATAAAAGCAATAAAACGTGTGCATTGAAAATAGAGTGGCTCATTGTTCCAGCTTCTCCTGAACATCTCAGCATGTTGATGGATCCATGTGTGGATGATCAGCAGCGATCAGCAGCACCTTCTGCACTCAACAGCAAGTCTCTGTTTTAGTCGGAGGCATTGCCCTCACTATTGATTTGTGGACCGTGGCACCCCGTGGATTAAATCTATTGTGACATTTCCATTTCTAATTTAAGACCGTGCACTGCTGCGCACGTGAGGCCGTCGTTACAGACTGGTGTGACACTCGCAGGTAAAACTCTGTTTCCTTCGGCTGTTGTGCTCGAACTGAAGAAAACAGACGCTCGACTTTAATTAAATGAAATGACAGAATGTGACAACGGTCGCATGTTTCAGCTTCGAGTTGAGAGAAGGAAACACTTCCCTGAAGGTTTTAGTTTTAATCCGTACAGTTTTAGTGACACTGGTTTTAATCTGGACAGTTTTAGTGACACT